TAGACAGCATAAGACACAACTATACAAATGGACCTCACTAGATGGAATACATAGAAATCAAATTGACTACATCTGTGGAAAGACATGATAGAAAAGCTCCATATCATCAGTCAAAACAAGGTTGGGGCAGACTGTGGAACAGACCATCAGTTACTCATATGCAAATTAAACTGAAGCTGAAGAGAATGAAAACAAGTCCATGAGAGCCAAATATGACCTTGAGAATTTAGAGATCATCTGAAGAACAGATTTGATACATTAAACACTAAAGACCGAAGACCAGAATAGCTGTGGGATGACATCGAGAACATCATACATGAAGAAAGCAAAAAGTCACTGAGAAGACAAAAAAGATGGAAAAGGTCAAAATGGATGTCAGAAGAGACACTGAAACTTGCTCTCCAGCTTAGAGATGCTAAAGCAAATGGAAGAAATGAAGAGGTCAAAGAGCTGAACAGAAATTTCAAAGATTAGCTTTAGAAGATAAAGCCAAATATTACAACAAAATGTGCAAAGATCTGGACTCAGAAAACCAAAAAGGAAGAACACGCTCAGCATTTCTCAAGCTGGGAGAACTGAAGAGAAAATTCAAGCCCTGACTTTTGCTATTGAAAATCTCACTGGGCAAATTATTGAATGATGCAGAAAGCATCATGAGAAGATGGAAGAAATACACAGTCACTGTACCAAAAGGAAATGATTAATGTTCAACCGTTTCAAGAGGTAGCATATGATAAAAAGCCAGTGATACTGAAGGAAGAAATCCAAGGTGTATTGAAGGAATTGACAAAGAACAAGGCACCAGGAATTGATGGAATAAAAATGGAAATCTTTAAAGAAAGTGATGTGGCACAGGAAGCACTCACTCATCTATGCCAAGAAATTTGGAAGACAATTATCTGGCCGACTGACTGGAGGAGATCTGTATTTGTGCTCATTACAAAGAGGTGACCCAGTGGAATGTGGAAGTCATTGGACAACCTCTTTGATATCCCATGTGAGTAAAGTTTTACTAAAGGTAATACAGAATTGGCTGCAAGCATACATTGACAGAGAACTTCCAGAGGTTCAGCTGGATTCAGAAGAAGT